TGAAAAAATTCGATTTTGTTGTTTCATTTCAATAAATTTTTTATTTTTACTGAGCACCACAAAGTATGTTACTAGAGCACCACAAAGTTTTTTTGACTTTGTAGTGAAAAAAAAGTTAGAAATATTTTTGGTACCAGAAATCACCACAAAGTTGTCAAGTTCTTGTTGTGAAATAAGTGTCAAAACAAAAAGTGTAACATAACCATAAATCTCTTTTCTCAGAGTAGGCAATCCAGATTTTATTAAATCGGATATTAAATTATTAAAACGATAAAATCAAACTTCTTACCACGATATTTACCTATTAATTTAATTACAGATTTAATAAGACTTGTTAATAAATTAATAAATAGAAAACAGAAAAAATTATAAAATGCCATTTGATAATGTTGTAATAATAATTTGGTCCCATCTTTATGTTTCTTCATCATAAATCAAAAGACATTTTAGGCTAATATGAAAGTTAAAATAACTTATTGTTTCCGTTAGCATTAGAAACAGGTGTCGAAAGGTGCAAAAAGTACCACTTTTTCGAAAGTTCTTAGGTATAAAGGTGCAACTCAGAAACTTTCAGAGATATCGGTTTGTCATCTTCTGCGAATTTGTAACGCCCCCCACCCAAAAGCAAATTTAAGTTTGATGTATCAAATCGGAAAGTACCGTTACTCTGGTGAAAATCGTCAATATTAGGGCTTAAAAACATGTTATTTTTGCAGTTTTTCTAAGAACATTTTTTTACAGAGCCGTTAGAAAACGCCGAACGAAGTTTTTTTTCGTTTTTTCCGCGGTATTTTGAACTGTCGACATATAATACTTCAGAAAAATAACTTTTTTTCTCATCGTTTTTTCAATCATCGGTATTTGTCGAAACGTTTGTAACCCTAATAGTACATGACTGGTAGTAGAGCTCAATTTCTTTCCAAACACACCATACAAAACAAGACATGGTCTTTTAAGAAAGAGTTTCTTGTCTTTTTGATTCAATTTTCTACAAAATACACTAGAAGTAGCTCACCAAAATACGGACTCAATGAATAAATAAAAAAATTCTATCTAATGTAAATTCAGTCTAGATGAGATGAGTTAACAGATCTCATGGTGTCGAATCCGAATAAACTCTTCCGTGCTCATGCCTGCTTTTCTAGTGCCACATTTAGAAATAAATAATATAAAGTAGTGTGATACTATATCCGAAATGTTAGATTTGAAATATATTTACAAAAAACGAAGCCTATCGTAGTGAATCGTAGCCTACAAATATATAAAACAGCAGTGATGGGTTTTTGTGAATAGGTACCAATTTGTAGATTATCGATTGCAATTCCAATTGCTGCTTTAGTATTGATTGCCCAACGTGGCCATTTATTATTCGGTTAACTTTGAACGCAATTAACAAGCTGAATTCGATTCGGTGTGTTTGCCACTCGCAGCACAATACAATGTCGCCAAATATAACCCCATTAGACAGTTTTGAACATATCGGAATTGAATATTTGCTGTCGCATGTTGGTCAAAATAAAACATGTACGTTTAATTGGAAATTTTTGCAACTCAACCCCAAACAATATAGTGTCTGCTTATGCATACTGCACCGCATGATAGTGTAATATTGGTCGATCCGAACGCATACACAAAACAAATGAACATGTTGTATTTTGCAGATATATTCCTATACCTCTTGATTTTGACTGTATACTAACAACTTTGAATAATTGTGAACGGTTAAATACACGATGGCAACAATAGAGAGAGAGAGAGAGAGAGAGAGGAGGAGGAGGAGGAGAGATATTTTGTTGCGTATGTGTGCACTTCCGAGCATTGGCGAATGTATGAACATTACAATGATTTGGAAAGCGAACATTTAACAATATAATTTTGGAGCTAGCATACACACAAAATAGGCGGTAACTCACATATCATCCTCCCTAAACAATTGGCCCATTTCAGTCGATGAATTATTGCAATCATCCTGGTTTTATTACCTTTAGCGGTTTTGTTTCAGTGGTGTAACTGAGTTGCATCAATTTTCATGCCTAAGCCACCATCTACCAACCCAGCTATCCAGTCGATCTTACCACCTTTTACAATATGCACTCTAAAAATTTGCCCTTTTTTCTCATTCCTTGTCTGAACGACCGATTGCCTCCCAAATTTTTATTATAATTCGTCTATGTACTGCATGTTGTCAATCGACTTCTTAAAACCGAATGAAATACGAAATAATCAATTGAAATTTCAGCATATGTGTTTTGTTTCATGTCTACCTGCAATGAATACAGTGATCGTCAGCATGGAAAATTCACTGAAAATCTATAGCTCATAATTAATAATTGAACTATAATTTTTTTTTCAATCATGCAGCCAAACCAACTTCCATGATGGAAACTCTATTGATGACTATTTGCTTTCATGTTTAGACCGTTGAAATTTTTAATGTGTCTGAACTTGTGAATAAAAAAACTATATTCTTCTGCTAAGTTCATATACGTGAAAATAATCAGGCAACTCAAACTCAAATTTACTTCATAAATTGTGCAATTTATAAACTATAGAATATTTTTAATCAGCAATGAATTGCAACTTTATTATCAGCAATACAATATTTCCTTAAATTCTAAATTTAAAATGTACAAAAAGCATCAATTAGTTGTATGTGAATTGTGTACGTAGCAATGCTCAATTTTTCACTGTAGTACTAAAACAGAGCGCAGTACTAAAATTTCATCGGTATATTCGCGACCGAGCTCAGTCCATAGCGCCACGTTTAGTTCGTTGATCGTGTGTAGTTGACAACATATGTCAATCGATTCAATGTGAAATATCAAGTAAAAGGAGAGTGCATAAAAATGGATATACCAAGTGAATTATCTTTGACTGAAATTCGAAATTTCATGTTGAAAAATGGTGGAAAAGTCACAAATCATGAATTAGTTAAATATTTCAAACAATTCCTCACGAATCCCAACACAAAAGGTAAATGGTCGTTCAAAACTAAACAAGATTATCTGAAGCAACAATTATTTTGTTTGGTTTGGTTTAGCTGAATATGTTCATAGTTGATGGTTATAATGTTGTGATTTGTTTAAAGTGTATTTGTAAGAACTATATTATTCGAAATTTAGTAGTAACAATTGGACAAAAAATTATTTTCTCTACAGTTTGTTAAATACTTTGGTAAACTTATATTTGTGTAGATGAAATAAATCGTGAACTGTCAAAACTACAGTTTAATGGAATGAACGCGTATTTAAACGTCATTGCTTCCACAAATATATGCGTGTGTCTGTCTCACCTGTTGAATCGAAATTTTTAAATATAAATTATTAGTCATCGTATTTTTGACAACGTATCGTTATTAATTGAATGAAAATGAGAGACTTTCAAGTGATTTTTCAATTTCGATTTCATATTTCCTTTAACAGAAGAAGCAAGAAAGCGATTCAAAACCTACGTCAACATTTTGTCAACAATCAAAAATGAAAATAGTGAGAAATATTTAATTCTACGTAAACGTTACTACAATGAGAGCCCGATTGAGTATGAGCCCGACGATGATTTAAATTTAATTGGTAATCCAGAACTGTTGCAAAGTCCCGGCTCACGCTCTGGTATATCGGAACACGATTTGTGCTCAAGCGGGCAATTTTTGAATGTATTCCAAAACCAATCACCCGAATGTTTGCAATACAAAGAACCACCACCGTACAAGCCTCCACCAAAAGTATTGCTTCATGCATATAAAAACCAAGAGAAATATAGTGAATGTGTCGATGAATTTAGATCTGCACTTTATTCTATCGGCTGTCAGCGAAACAATGCAGACAGCGGTACTTCGAAGCCAGAGCAAGCATATCCAGAAAATCCGCCAAAATGCAAGTCAACAAAAGATGATGTAAACTATTCCAAACGGCAAATGTTGGAAGCTACACCAGCGAAATCGAATATATCCACAGAAAACACGGAGAGTGTAGACAAAGAAAATGTTTTCGATTCAGCAAAGACATCATTTGCACTTGATGCGGAACGAACGCTTGATAAACAAATAAGTGTTAAAGAAGCAACAAAGAAATTCAATCGAATCGCATCGGAAGAAGAAGCAAGCAAAATTATATCACCAAATGCTAAGAAAAAGCCGGAAAAGGTGAGTGCTTCAAATACTGTATAAATGATGTACCTAGTGATTTTACACAAACGATTTTTAGCGATAAGATTTTTTTAATGTGTCTGATCGAATGTGACCATATCAAGTTACCAAACTGATTATTTCCAGTCAATGATATTTTTTATTTTCACACACGTGTAGCGTAATTTTGTGAATTTGAGCAATACGGTAGAACAGTGCCGAAATAGCATTATAGTGATATTTTTTTGTGTTTTGAATTAAAAAACGTGTCGATAGTATCATAAAAATTCAAATCAAATTTTCACTCGTCAGCCAGATTGGATTCAAAAATGTCCTTCAAATGAATTTTTGTGATATTATTTGCGATATGAAAGCCAATTAGCAAGAAAGAGGAATTGAGCCCCCAATTCTCGTCCAGTTCGCAATAAAAGTCATAACATTTATTTAGGTTTGAAAATGAAACAACAAAAAAAACTGTGTCGAAATTCTTTTAGTTGTTCAGTGTTTGGATCAGTCATTTCTTCATCCATAAAATGAGTTCGTATTTTACCAATCAATGGTCTGGCCTCTTGCCATTGCTTTACTGTAACTGTTTTGTGTATAATCTTCAAAACAAACTGATTTCAACGGGTTTTAAAAATTGTAAACAATGAAGTCTACATTCAAATGGCATAAAATTATGCATTTGCATAGAACCTCTTCAAGCACCATTGTCACCATGGTCTCGATTATTTATTTAGTAAGTGGGGAATAAAAAGAATATATATTCAATTAACCGATTAACTACCGAGGTGCAAAAGTATATTCCAAATAAGTAACCAATAGTCCAATCTACACTCAGAGCACTCTCCGTTTAAATTTTTTGTTTTTACTCCAAATAATAATAATAAATAAAATACAAAAATGTTTTACTCATATTTGGAGTAAAAACTCAAAATTTAAACGGAGAGTGCTCTGAGTGTAGCATAATTGCAAGGGGAGAGACACCAACGCTAGTTTCACTAATTTATTCTATTGTTTCATAATATATGCTATTTTTGCTAGTTTCTCTCAATAAAAGTGCTATTTTTTGCAAATATTTCCTATGTGCAACGTGACAGTTTGACAGTTCACGTACAAGTAACACTCATCAAGTTATTATTGTATGCTTGGAAAGAAAGCAAAAAAATTATATTTTGGCAATTTTTCTAATGTTATTTCATAGAAAAGAACAAATTGTTCCATTTAATTTCATAAAATAACTCGAAAACTTTGTTTTAAACGGTTAAAAACAGTAAATAAGAAATCGCTATTTCTTCAATAATATTGCTATTTTTTGCTATTTTTGCTATTTTCCTCTAGTATTTATATGAACTTCAAAAAATAGCTAATGGTGTCTCTCCCCATGCATATTTGTCACCTGGGAACTCCGAAAAAAGAATGTCATATGGAAATCTTTTGCTTGTAGTTTTTCCGGGAAATGGATTTTTCGGAATATCTTATTTTTGAGGCTCAGAAACTGATCAATACCATTATGCTTTTTCCGATTTTTCGAACGTTGAAACTTTTATTAAATTGATTACTCAAATCTAGTTACAGCGATATATTTAAATTTTAGCGTTGATAACCTTTCAGGTTTTAAACGTCCCTATTTTAACTGTGCATTGTTGTTTGCGCATTTAATGAAAAATAATTATTCTTACTATAAGGGTAAAATTTAAAAACCACTTAATTTTGGAGAAATTAAATAAATAAAAAAATAGATATTTTGAATGCATTTAAAATGAATCAAGTTACAAACACGAAAAGAATTTTAAAATTTAAATTGACATCAGAATGAGCTCCGTGACGGCAGTGAGTCAAAGAATCAGAATTAATATGACTCATTGAATGCGTGAGTGTATTGGAAAGTCATGAAAAATCTACTTACAGTATTGGTGCGCAAAACAGAAAGCCATTATCATGACACACTCACGCATTCAATGAGTCATATCAATTCTGATTCTTTGAATCGACTGACTCACTGCCTCTAAAATGGAGTCAGATTCTAATTTATTTCTTATGGCTCAAAAAGAGACAGTCACATCAAGTTTGACTCACTTTGGACAAATTAATGACTTTGATTATGACTCATATTGTGACTCACTTCATGTCTCAGTTGTAAAACAGTGTTTCACTTTTCCGAATAGGAGTCATAGAGCCACATTAACCTTCAAACCGTGAAACCTCTTTTATAACGTTGTTCGTGAAACCGGTGCCTGAGTGCCCCAAGTGCATTTTTGTATGAAAACTAGAGTGTGATAAGAGATAAACGATTTGTGTCTTGAGCAAAGTTATAGAGCATGTCAAGTACTAAAATATTCTTGCAAACACTATTCCGTTATCTCTTATCAGTTACGCGAAAAATGATAACATAAGAATCGCGTTTTTCGCGGTTTTTTGAGTAACAGATAAGAGATAACAAGTTGGTGTCTTCAGGAATGTTGTAGAGCTTAACTCTTTCTACAGCTTTGCTTAAGACAGATTTCCCCCAACTCTTATCAGTTACGCGAAAATGACAAGTAGAAAACCCGTATTTTTCGCGGTCATCTGCGGTTTTTCGCGTATTTTGCGCAACTGATAAGAGATAAGAGATATCTGTCTGGGACAAAATTGTAGAACGGGACAAGTACTACAATATTTTTGAAGTTTTTATCTCCTTATCTCTTATCAATTATGCGGAAAACCGCGAAAAACGCGATTTTTATGTTATCATTTTTCGCGTAACTGATAAGAGATAACATGTTGAAGTCTTCGAGAATGTTGTAGAACTCAACCTGTTCTACAACTTTGCTTAAGACAGATATCTCTTATCTCTTATCAGTCTATTAAAAAATTAGATACAAAAAATACGCGTCTTCCGCGTTTTTTGCATATTTCGCGGAACTAATAAGAGATAACGGAATAGTGTTTGTAGAAATATTGTAGTACTTGACATGCTCTATAACTTTGCTCAAGACACAAATCTTTTATCGCTTATCACACTCTAGTTTTCATACAAAAATGCACTTTGGGCACTCAGGCACCCGATTCACGTATAGCGCATCACACATGCTTTTGCACATATGTGATGACGTAGTATGCGTATGTGAATATGTTAGCGCAATTCATGTAGTCAAATGTTCAACAAATCGAACCATCTTTGTGTAAATCATGTATGATGAAAAATGATAAAGATATAAGTGTTTAAAGTTGGTCTTGGGCACTCAGTGCCCGATTCACGGTTCTAAGGTTAATACGAGAAAAAAATTCGATTTCATGTACTTGCGATGGGAATGTACCAAAAATCTACTTTTTCAAAAATGTTGACGATTAGTACTCATCCACCAGCCAAGATTTGGGCAATCCGGAAGTGGCATTTGCCAGCACCATTAGAGCACTAATTATAGCATATTATGGTTTACCAGCATTATTCCCGGGCGGTGTTGATGAACTTCGTCGCATTGTGATATCGATTTTCATTCATTTTTTTCGATTTTTGTTGAATTTGTGCTCACTCTGGGTGAGAGCACGAATTGTGTATTCGACGGCACAAATTAGAGGACGTCAACCCTTTCATTATCAACCCTCAGATCATGAAAATGTTGAAAATTTCACTTGGAATTGTTTTCCGGCTCAAATCTACGAAAAATTCATTTTGTCAATTTTTGTCGAATTTATGTTCGTCACCAGTTGCAGCACAAATTCTGGGGAGCGAGCGATAATTAGCACAAATTGTGTAGAACACGATAGCGGGTTAAAATTTTTAATTTCTTGAAAAAAAAATTCCGGGCGGGGCTGACGTCACGGAGCTATCAGAATGTTAAAAAATAATAATGAAAATGAACATGAAAACTGAATTGAGTTTAAAGATTCGGATGATTCTGAATTCATTACATGACTTATTGATTAATTACATAATTTATATTTCCATTTCTGTCTAGGGGGTAAAATCATTTTTTTCATCTTTTATATCCGATCGCATCAAGTAATAACTTAGAAATTAAATGGTATGCATGTGAATCCGAAATATCCATGTATATTCAACAATATTTATCGTGAACGACAAATGAATATTACTGAATATACATAGATATGTCAAATTTACGTGTATACGTATGAAAAATAAAAATAATAGTGAATCAAACCTTCAACCGTAAATTTGAACGATTTTGGTAGATAACGGTTAATATTGGAACATTTTTTGACATTACAGTCTAATGAATATTATTAAATATACATAGATATTTAAGATTGACGTGCATACCAGTAAATTGGTGCAGATTGTATAGTCAAAAAATGTTCCAATATTCACCGTAATCCACCAAAATCCTTCAAAAGTCGTTCAAATTTTCGGTTGAAGGTTTGATTCACTATTATTTTTATTTTTTCAGAGTTATTTGCGTTCTGCAAAATCGTGTGAAGCCCCTAGATTTTTGTCTCTATTATAAAGTAGCAACAAATTATTTTCAAATAGCATATTATTATTATTTAAACGCCATTGATGTGATGGTGTTTCATGAAATCCATCAACATTTAATTCTAATAGCTCAGGCCATCCAGAAAAAGGCTCTCCATTTTGCATTAAACAAAAACAATTTTTTGCATTAAACAATTGGAATGATAAAAAACAGAATTTTAGAAACCTTCAAGAAAAGTAGATTTTTCAGAAACATTTCGATCAACTTTTCCGAAATTCTACAGTATTTTGATTGGAACTCCTACATATAAAAGACCTAATAAATATAATTACTTACTGACTCAATCGCAAAAATAGTTTAATATTGCTAAAAAGAATGGGGGACGGAATGAGGCTATGTTAATCCTCTGTTCGTTCATTGCATTTACAACTTAACTTCGTACAGCGCCCCAAGTGTATTTTGTATAAAAACTTGACTGTAATATGATATAGCGACTTGGTGTCTTCGGCAAAGTTGTAGTACCCGCTCTACAACTTTGCTGAAGATATATATTGCATATCTCAGTTCGCCAATTTACGTCTTCTCATTTTTCACGGAATT